CTGGCACGCAGCTTTGGTCCTTCACCCCAGCTCAGCCAGCTTTCAGGAACTCTAACCAGCCTGTCTTGCCAGCCAGCTCCTGAGCTACGTGAACTGACTTCTCTTCCTTCTCATCTCTATGAAATATTTACCTCTTTTCTTGATAGAAAACCATCCAGACTTGGATAAAATCACAGTAGCAGATCCTAAAAACTAGGCCCTGGGGGGTTAGGCCTGGACGAGGCTACATACTACCACTCGTCACCGGCCGCCTCCATCTAAGTCACGATCACATTTCTGTCTTTAAGTCAACAAGATCGCCAGCCCTGAGCAGGCTCACAGGTAGTCCCATCAATCAGAGCGGCCCCAGTCAAGCCACCAGCTGACCGCCCCCAGCTCTTACCAAACCAGCTTCCTCAGGTCCCTATGGCCAGGCTCCCAGCTGCCTTTTGAGTCAGCGCCTTAAACATCCGGCCACACTTCTGATCTGCAGTGGAGTTTCAACTCTGAGCCCCACTCACCCAAGAAATTGGGGGTTTCAGAGTCTGGAGTCACTACAGAAAAGTCAAAATGGGCAAAAAGACACATCAGAATTCAATACTGGACTTTTTTCTTCAGTCCTAATTTACCTTTAAATTAGGGTGATTTCTACTCAAGGCTAAGGGCTGTTTCTCAGCCTATAGCTGTAGTTTCAACCAGGGGTGGGGGTGGGGTGGGTGGGGGGCAGTTTTGCCCTCCAGAGGACATTTGGCAAAGTCTAGACATTTTTTGTTGTTGTGACTAAGGGGATGCTACTGGCATCTAGTAGGTAGAGGCTAGGGATGCTAAGCATCCTAAAGTAAACAGGGTTGTCTCACAACAAAGTGCCCGGCCCCAAATGTCAACAACACAGAGGCCAAGAAAACTCTGTCTAGATTAGCTGAGCTGACCAGTTCCTCCTCTGCCCTCTGATGTAGGCCCCCAGTCCCCTCCTAGCCTCTTGCTGTGTCTTGTGGTGGCTCCCTTGCCCTCTCCAGTACTGAAAGTGTTTGCGATTCTGTCACCAAATGTCTCTCTCCCCTGGAGGGTATTACCATCTGATCTGTGACTTCATGTCCTAACAGGGATGACTGTCTCTTTGAATTTGGGGTCTTTACCTTTCTTCTAAACTTCAGACCCATCCTCCACAATAGGCTGTAAAAATCTCCACCCACTTGCCCATCCTTCCTTCGCCTCTGCTGTCTAAAACCAAGTCAGCTCCGCCATTTTGGCATCTCCCCCCCAGCTCCTCCCTGACTTCCCTTCCCCACTCCTGTCCCATCATCATCCAGGTGCCAAACGTTGGCCCCGCCACCTCTCGTGCCATTCTAGCAGGTCCTTTGGGCTCTCTCAAGTCCCTTCCTTCAGCCTTGCTGCTTCCTCCACAAGTTGTGGGCCTCCCTCCTTTAAAGGTCACGACCAGACACAAGCCCCCCGTGTCCTCTTCCTCCAGACCATCCTCCACGTTGCCTCCACCCTTCCTAAAACTAGCCTCAAATCCTCACTCGGACAAAAAAACATCAGCACTTCCATTTCCTACCAAAAGAGCCTCAAAATTGCTTGCTCTGATGCGTCATGATATCCTGGAGACCCATCGAACTTTCTCCAATTGCTCCTCCAAGACCCCACAGGGTGGGCTGCCCTCTCCACCCAGCTCTGCCCCTTGTTCCCAGCCATCTTTGTTGAGCGCCAGCCAACACCTCCCATCCCCCACCGCCTATGCATACAGCAAGCCCTCTGTCCCTCCTGGGGAGCTCATCTGAAATGCCATTATCTCCATCAAGACTTCCAAGGTCCCCCCAGGTGAAGATCTTTCCTTTCCTGTCTGTGTTGTTTACCCTTTAGAATGGAGATCTGGCCCAATCTTTATCTCCTCAAAACATGTGCTCTCCACAGGCTGGAGATGCCTGGACCCGCTGCACAAGCACGGGTCCTGCTAAAGAACCAAGGTACCAGAAAGAGCGAGGAACAAAGGGGTCCCGCGGGCCCATGAGCGCGTCGAACAAAGGGACCCTGTCCCCGTTCCTTGGTGAACAGTGGTCTGGGCGAGAGCGAGGCCTGGGGAGTGCAATCATCCTTTGGGGACCCCATCGCGCGGCCTCCCTGGCGCTCCAACCCCAGCATCTACTAACCTTGCTCTTCGGCAGAGCTCAGCATCCCCGTCGCCCCAACTCCTTATCCATCGGGGCTGCTCGTGTGCACGGGGCGGGCAGCTCTCTGTCCTCGGGGTCCTGGCCGTCTACCGCCAGGCCCTGGGAATCCTCGCCCCCGCCCGTCCCGTGTTGGGTGTTTGCCCACCGCTGTCAGTGAGCCCGAGGGTTGGCCCCTGTGAGCCCGACCTCCCCTCCCAGCCTGGTGAGTTGTGGAGTCGGGAAGAACGACCCGCGGTGCCGGCTGACCTCGTGGTGTCGCAGGCCTGACCGCCATACCAACCGCTTCCAAGCACCCCAGCAGCACAACCTCTTAGGGCGTTCCAACTCGGCGCCCCCTAAGGGACCTCCCACTCATATCCGGTTTCCGGTTCGAAGCCCCCTGCTCATTCGCCAGGCAGCCTTGATTGGCGTGACCCCAGCCCAATGGCTGACCCAGCGCTGGGGGTCGAAGGGGAGCGAGTTGACTGTTGGGACCCAGTTGGCACCTTGAGTGAGTGTTCAAGTGGTTGAGCCATTGCGCGTGGGTGTAGTTGGCCGAAGTTTGGACCAAAGTTCAGTGTTGGCATCTGGAAGTGTGTAGACCCCCTGAGCCGAGATGATACCTCTGTCGGGGGACCCAAACGTTACCCAGGGTTGGGCTCTGTCTGTGTTCCTCCGCGCAGCGCGGCCCCGCCGGACGGCAGACGAGGGGCCGATGCGCGCTGTGGCGGGGGTCTTCTCACTCTGAAAGGGAAGCGTTCGATGCAATGAGATTGAATTGTGAGTGGTTCGCCCGCCCGCGGCGCGTCGATACAGAGATCCAGGCGGCGCGCCTCCCTCGCCGCAGCGCACCTTGTGTTACTCTCATTCCATCCGCTCCACATGTGATCCACATGTCCCCTGGCCACCTACAGGTGACTCGCAAGCCCGTGTCACCCGCTGGCAACACAGACCTGATGCCCGTGTCCCGGATTTTACGTGATCCGCAAGCAGCAATTTTTTCCCCCCTGGTTCTAATCTGACGGTAGACCCCGGAGCCCGGGCAGTACACATGCGCGGAGCCCACCCAGGTGGTGTGCGTCTTTATCCCTCCGGCTCGGAGCCCACCGCGCGCCACCGAGACGCGAGCGCAGTCCGCCGCCGCGGGATTTATGACCAGGCTTATTGCCGCCTCTGCGGGCTCTAGCAGTTGGGAAATAAAGCGGCTACCTGCAGATCCCCATAGCAAGAGGAGAGGGGTTGGAAAGGGGATGGGAGAGGGGCTGGAAGGGGGCTGGAGGGGAACCAGGGGAGGGAGCTGTGATGCTGCGGCGGCGCCCGAGGCAGGAAGTACCACATCGCGGCCGCTGTTAGTCGGCACAGCAGGGCTCGGCTTGGCGCGGCATGATGTGTGCCTTTGGGCTCAGTGCGCACAGGGTTGACCAGTCTCTGAAAGCACCCTAAATCAGCCATAAATCCCAACTGAAATCCCCTTTAACCCTTCCCCAGAACAGTAGGACCCCCGGAAGTCCGAGGCCTGCACTCTGTGGGGTCCCCATGCTCATCCCGCATCCCCGCCGCCGCCCCCCCCTCCCAGCCGTGCCGCCGCAGTTACCGCTTGCAGCGGTCGCCAACCTTTCGGACCTCACGGACCACCGGTTGGCGACCACTGCTCCGAAGGTTTCCTGAAACCAGCGGTCGCCAACCTTTCGGACCTCGCGGGCCACCAGTGGTCTGCGGACCACCGGTTGGGGCGACCGCTGGAGAGGGTCTCCGTGGTTCATACCCGAGACCCTCTTATTCCCTGAATCATTTGTCCACATAAACGCGGAACAACCCGGCCCGCGCGGCCCTCAGCGCCTGCGGAGACCCTCGGAGCGCGGTGGGGATGGGGGACATGTCAGTGATTTACATGAGCCAGCCTCGGCAAGTCGGCAAACGAAAGCTGCAGCGGCGATGGAAAGTGCCCCAAGACATTTTAAAAACAAATTGTGTGCACAAACTCAGCATCCCCTCGCCCCTCGCCTCCTTGTCCTCTCCATCGGTGGGCTCACGACCACCTGTCGCATCCTCGCGCGCGCACTCGCCCCCGTCCTAAAGCCTTGTGCGCCGGATTTGGGGCCCAGGATGGAAGGCTGCTCAGAGCTGGGGGCTGCAACTCTTGGGCTCAGGAGTATTTTGGGGTTACGAAACCTTCATGCAGTTCCCCCCTCCCTCCAAGGAGCGTCAGCGGCGCCTGGGAGGGAGGGTTTCAGTTCCTGCGCTCCAGCATCCCGGGCCCACGTCTTGCGTCACGTGTCCCACACGCAGGAGAGCTCTCTCTCTGGCCAGGGGAGCAGAGAGGAGATAGACTCCAAATCAGTCGGGGAGAGGAGTGGAAGAACCAAACCATCCCTGCGAGGCCTGCGCCCGTCGCCCCCTTACCCCAGGCCGGGGCTCCCGGCGACAGAAGCCGGCTCCTGCAGCCGCCCGGGCTCCGGCCGGCGTCCTCTGGTGGCGGAGAGAGAGCACTACGTGCGACTTTCGGACCGAATCGACACGCTCCTCAGATCCAAACAGGCGGGGCTGGCCTGCAGAATGCAGAGAGACAGAGACAGAGACTGAGGAGGGGGCCCAGGGTAGGTCAGCAGGGGGGCAGGGGCAGCCTGAGGACATGAAAAGAGGCCAGGAAGGAGCTAAGACTCCACCAGCAACCATAGAGTTGCTTCTACCACAGTCTAGGATATGAGGGCCTGAAGCCCGGCACCAGCAGGGGTTGGAAAGTGAGGTTGAAGAACTGTCTGGCTGGTAATTTGATTTTTTTTATTTTGGAAATATTTTTTTCACCCTAGTTTGGTTGGGTGCTCCATCGTCCGGGGCCCCAAATTTATTTTACGAGGCCGCCACCGTGTTATGGGCATGCGCAACTGCCTCTACGGCAATAATATGTCAGGACAACGCGATATCCCCCTTGAGCCCGAGGAACAGCCCGAGCAACCATCTCTGGAGGCCTCAGGGGCAGCTGCCCCCAGTGCTGGGCCTGGCGCAGCCGAAGAAATGGAGGCCCAATCGCCTCCCAGGGAGCCCATCCCCATCGAGACTGAAGGCGAGGCCTGTGGACCTCCAGAGGCCTCCAGACCCAACGTCCAGAGTGAGGCAGTCCAGGAAGCCGGAGCCCATGGAGGCTACAGCCCACCTCCAGAGGAGGCCATGCCCTTCGAGGTCAAGCAGCCCAGCGTGGGAGGCTTCTGGCCGGCCCTGGAGCAGCCTGGAAACGCCAGGGGGGCCCTTAGCCCAGTGCTGGTGCAGCCCAGAGCCCGCTGGGAGGCCAGACCAGACCTGGGCAGCTACAGCCCTCCGCCCGAAGAGGCCATGCCCTTCGAGAGCGAGCAGCCTGCCCAGGGAGCGTGCAGCCAGCCTCTCCTGCAGATCTCCGAGCTCGCGCCAGGAGGCCCGGCCGTGGGGGTCTTTAGCGCCCCCTCAGAGGAGCCCCAAGTCCGCAGACCTGCCTACGCAGGCTGCGGAGGAAACTGCAGCCCTCCCCCTGAGGAGGCGATGCCATTTGCGTTTGATGGAGCAGCCTTGGGGGACGACAGCCCACCCCCTGGGCTCCCCCGAGCTACCCTACAAATCCACGACGGTGGCGGCGGCCACTTCGCGGCAGTCGCGGAGCCGCGTGCGATCCTCCTCGCTCCCGCCGCGAACGAGCCCCCCCTCTGGGACCCAGGAGCCAGCGTCAGCACATCCGGAGAGGCTGTCAGAGCTCCTCCACACTTCGTGGGCGACAGCCCCCCGATGGAGGTCTCCGGACCCCAGCTCGAGATTGGTAGCGCCCCCGCTGGGGTCGACGACGCTCCCGTCAACATGGACAGCCCCCCAATCGCGCCTGACAGCCCGCCCATCGAGGTCTCCGGAGCCCCAGTTAAGAGAGAGCCAGCAGAGGGAGAGAGACCCCCAGTTGAAGGCGAAGCAGCCGAGATGGAAGGAAGCTCAGCCGCTGCAGCCGCAGCCGCAGCCGCAGCCGCAGAGGGAGACAAACTCCCTCCTCTCGGAGACGGAGACCGAAACCGAGACGGAGACGGAGACGGAGACGGAGACCGAGCTCCTGCCGCCGGGGCCCCTGCTGCCGCCCCCGAAGCTCCAGACGCCGGGGCAGCCGCCGCTGCCTCAGCTGCCCCAGCAGCTCCGGAAGCCCCAGCAGCTCCAGAAGCCACAGCAGCTCCAGAAGCCCCAGCAGCGCCCGCTGCCCCGGCCACTCCAGCCGCCCCGGCCGCTCCCGCCGCCCGAGCAGCTTCTGCTACCCGGCCCGCTCTCGCCGCCAGGCCGGGTCTCGCCGCCCGGTCCGCAAGCGCCTCCCGGGCCACTCCTGCCCCCCGGCCAGTCCCTTACGCTGCAGCTGCCTGGGCAGTCCCAGCCTCCTGTTATGGTCCAAACGCTCCAGCTGCCCGTGCGGCCCGAGCCGCCCGAGCCGCCCAAGCAGCTCGAGCCGTGTCTGCTGCCTGGGCAGCCCCAGCCCCAGCCCCAGCCCCAGTCCCAGCCCCAGGCCCAGCCAGCGGAGCCCGCCCCAACCCCCGTTTCCTTAGACCCCCCAGCCCCGAGATCCAGGCTGCCGATCCGCCTACTCCGCAGCCTGCTCGCTCGTATGCCTGGCGGGCCGGGTCCGAGCGCGGCCGCGACGACCGCGACGACGGAGGATCGGCCAGCAGCAGCGATGAGTCCGACGAGAGGGCCTTCGGATGCTTCGTCTGCTGTCAGCAGAAGCGAGATCACCCCAGACCAAAGCCGAAGTGTAACTTGTTCCGCAACTTCTTCGATCGGGCCTTCCAGAGCTGCTTCGGCCAACCTGAGAACGACGAGTTCAGAGTCCCGCACAGTCCCAAGGTCACGACGATTCCTATGGTGGAGACTTGCAGACCGATGTGCCTGGAAACCCAGGAGCAGCGCTTCCAGATGCGCGAGCAGAGGAAGCGCAGCCAGCTCATCGACCGGCAGCTACAGGAGGAGAAGATGGGTTACACGTGTACGCACCGCCTGCTGCTTCTAGGTAATGCGGCGGACTCTGCCCGTGGGGAGCAGGGCCGCCCGGGACCCGGGAAAGGGTGGAAGGGTTGCCCGTGGGCGCAGGGCCTAGCGGCGGGAGGAGGGTGGCTGGGCAAAGGCCAGAAGAGCCTGCTAGGAAGTTCCAGTGAGGGCCCTAACTTTGCCCCGGGAGTGGGGGGCGGGGGGAGGTCTCGGGTGGGCTGGGGTGGCCGGAGTATATGCCCTCCAGGGAGAAAAGAGGTGGTGTACAACACTGGGGGTCGTTTCCAGCTGGACAAACCAGCGACCGTAGGACGACCCCAAATCCTGGGGTGGGGGACGGCAAGAAAGGCGGGGTCCTCAGGTGAGCCAGGAACTGCCGGGGAGGGGCCTCGGGGTTCCCCGGCTAAGCTGTTTGTGGCCGTGGTGGGATGGGGTCGTTGGGAAAGGCGCGCCCCGCCTCGCCTGGCACGGCTGCTTGGACTCAGACAGCTTGTCGTTGGTGTGTGTTGGTGTCCATATTGTGTCCGCCTGTGCATGATCTGCGCTCCAGTGTTCCCCAGTTCCCATCCCTGGCACCCCCAAATCACCCGCCGACTGTGTACTTGTACGGGGAATGGGCTGTCTTGTGTTGTGCGCCATGGCGCGGGCAGAAACTTTCCGCGTTCGCACTCTCTGGTGGTACCTGTGAGCTGGCACTCTGCAGCGGGCAGCACGGAACATGCAGAGAGAAGGCTGTGGGACATCTTGGGTAATGTGTTGGGCACCTCGCGCAGGGGAAGGGGGCCGCCTCCTGATGGCCTCCATAACCTTTTTTTCTATATGTCTTTCTCTCTTTTTTCCCTTTGCGCTAAGCGTTTCCTCTCTTCTCATTCGTTCGCCAAACCCTCCCGCCTTTACGGTTGAAAACCAGACACTCAGGTATCTGGGGCGTCAGGGGCTGCACACGGAAATTCGGTATTCTGCACACACTCGGCTCACCTGGTGGGGGGAGGGTCGGGTGGGGGCGGGGAAAGCACACCAACCTGCTCTAGGCAAGTCTGGATCCAAACCACACGGGGTTGGTTCCGAGGGGCGGGGGCGTGGCTCTTTTAAAAACATGAAATAATTTCCCCCCCTGCGGACGAGCCCGAGGTAAGCCAAGCATTTACACTTTCACACTCATGCAGTAGGAGGGGCTTAATTAAAAGAGGGGTGCGTTGGGAGTGGACTGCAGTCGTGTTTAAAATGCAATTAAAATAAATCATTTTTTAAAATGCTCCGAGTGTATTTTAAGTGTGTGGACAAAATGTGATAACATTGACTATGACTTGTGAAATCTGTAAATGTCTGCATGTGAATCTTTTCAGGCAGCTTTAGCTGGGGGCACAGAGGCTCAAAGGTAAGATCCTCTGCAAGTGGGCTGGTGATGAAAAAAAATTAAAAAGGTCTTGTGTTCATAATAATATTAGAAGGGTACCTTTCGGGGCCCTCTGCCTGCCTGCCCCCTTTGCTTTGGGGTGGGGGCCCCACACCTCCCACCACAACAAGACCCCTCCCTTATCTTCAAGTCCTTCCTGGCCCTTCCCAGTCTCCACCCCCTTTGCCTCCTCAAGACTCCTTTAGCTCAAACCTGGAGCGTTGACTCTTTGTGCCACAGTTAATCACAGCAGTAATTAGCAATGGTCTGAATGTGTGGCTTAAATGAAAATTCCAAAGTGAATTTCTTTATTTTATTCTCTAAGACCTTTCAAGGGATTTAACGATCACCATTTCTCAGGCTTTGCTAAATGTTGTTAAGTATTTTATAATGTGTCCTGGTTTTAATTAATGACATTATGGACATGGCTGTATGCTGTTGTGATGTGCATCTCTCACAAATCACAGTGTTAAATGTGATGGTCATTGATGCCCACCCATAGAGATAATGACATCATCATTTCCCCAAGAACATAGAGAGGGAGCTTAAATTTCTGATGTTCCACTGCACCAAAGCCACTGAGCCTCCAATGACAATGCACTGTTTTCCTGCAAACAACTGGTTTTGCCACAACAGTCCCATTTCAATATTCCAAGCATCGCTCTGGGGAGCAAACCCATGATGGGGAAGGGAGACACAATTGGGTAAAGACAGGAGAGTCAGTTACAGTGTGCACTTGGCCCCTAGTGGGCAGTGTCCCTTGCCTTCTGGGGCCTCAGTTGCCTCATTTGTGAATTGTCTATTTGAGCGGGGGAGGGAGGGTGCAGAGCCAGGAGCACAGTCCACTCAAATCAGCACTGGAGGCTTATACCATAGATGATACAAACATCAACCCAGTAGCAAATGGTCTATGTCTGAGGCAGAGTCTTAAGAATATTAGAAGTTCCCTTGTTCTGTATGGGGGGCGGGGGGCATGTTAACCTTAATCACAGGAAATTTGCCAGCATCCTGGCTCTGCTTCCAGGGTGGTGGTCCAGCAGACCAACCTCAGCCACAGGTAGCATGACCCTAAATCAGAGAGCCAGGCTTATGGTTTCTGACCAGGTTTCATTTTGCCCAAGTGCCAAGAGAGGTACCCCATCTGGGTCTAAGTTACTCACTGGGGAGGGGGAGAGTAGGGAGAATGAGGCCTTACATTTAGAACAAGCCTTTTACTGACATTCTATTCCTAACACATAAAACAAGGCATCCATCTTCCTGCCACTGAACATGCAGAACAAATGACCATCCTTTGATGTGGCTCTGAATTTGTGACACGCAGATTCATCTGTGGCTTTAAAAATGTGTGTGTGCATTTGTATATATGTACCCTCTGTGTTTTTATTGCCCGAACAGCTTAACATTACAGGGATTTAAAAAAAACTATAGTTGACATACTATATTAATTCCAGCTGTGCTACATAGTGATTCGACACTTATATCCCTTACAGAGTGATCATCACAAAAAACCTAGTAACCATCTATCACCATACAAAGTTATTACCATATTATTGACTATGTTCCCTCTGCTGTATTCAGGGAACCTTAAAGGAGAAAAAGGTAGGTAGGTAGGTAGGTGTAGGTAAGTAGGTAGATAGAAAGAATCAATGACATGATTAGAATTCTAGAATACCTAAAGTGTTGAAGCCTTTTTTTATTCGACACTAGCCAATAATAGACTGTTTCCATGTTTCTGTTGCCCTTTTGGATAATTTTGGTGGCTTTACCATTTTTTGGAACCTAAATTTCCTCATGTCTTAAGAATTGAAGGGGCTGCTATATTAGAATTTCTTAGTAGCTGCTGTATTTATTAAAATTGTTCAGACAAAACGCTCTATGTACTAATGGCCATGATGCTTTATTTATACAGTGAGTCTCAATTAATTGATGATTTATTTATGGTACCAGCCACCAGGTGCAACAGTGCTGCATTGCAGCCATCTTGTAGGAGGCCTTTTTTTTTTTTTTTCCTCAATACACCCATTTTTCTGAATTCAAAATGCTCCACTGAGCTGTTTGGTGCCATGGAGAGGATATGGCCTATCTGGCCACAACACTGTCAGAATTAAGAAGGACTTTTATTATTTTCCCTCCTCTGTCTCCCAATAGTAGTTTGTGCTTCTCAAAGGCCGAAGTTCATTCCTGTGTTTTAAAATCCAATTTCCCCTAGATTTTTCTCAAACAAAAATGTGTGTTTTTTCTATATAGGTAGGTTAGGTTTTATAATTTATCCACATCATATATACCATGAAAAACTGGTATGAAGCTGTTTTGTGTGTCCCCTCCTGACCCACAGAAGAGGATACACAATGGCCCTGGAGTTCTTAGTAACCAGTAATAGCAATGATTCTGCATAATGACAACACATTCTCATTGTATTTTTTTAAAAGCCTTTCATGGAGTCACATTTGTCCTTTGAAACAGCCTTGGGCAATAAAAACACGCTAGGACCCCATTTCATAGGCAAATCAGAGATTGAATGTCAGGGACTTTTGCTCAAGGACTGCAAGGTAAGTGAAGGAATCCATGCTTATCCAACAACGTGGCAGTAGCTGTATCGCATTATTAAATGTACAGCATGATTGCAAGTGTACTGTGTGCTCTTAAAATCCCTTGTCAGATGACAGGTGACCAGCAGTCTTCTGCTTTCTGATTTACAGCCAAAGCCTGACAGATTCCTGGTTATAAATGTCCATGGAGTGTATGTGAAACGAGAGCTCCCCCATTCCAGAGACACCTGTCATTGCTATGGTGAGATCTAGTTTCCACCATTTGCTTTAGCTCATCAGCCAACACTGCAGTCTTAGCTCATTTGTTGGGCTTTTTTTCCCCCTTTTTCTTTTAAATGCAGGTTTTCTTTTGACTCTCTTTAAAATCCCCCTGTGGTTTTCTTCAGGATCTAAAGCTTTCCTACTGACTAAGGTTTCCACTAAAAATAATAATAATTTTAAAATGCAGTTGTTTTTATGCATCTTCCTTACATTTTTAGTGTTCTGGTATAATAGACTATTTAGAAGCCTGCCTTGGATCTAATGACCCTATTAAAATAACTGTTGCTCAGAGTCCTTCGGAGTGATTTTTTAAAAAGTATTTCTTCCTCTTAGTAAGGGCTAATTCCTGCTTGGTGAGAGTCAGTGCATAATCTTAGAAATCACCTTTGATTTTTATGCAGGAAGGTCAGTACTAAGCAAGAAAATAAATTTCTTTTTAGGAAGATAACCTAATTGACTAGATTTGAAATTCTCCACACTGGCCATGCCTCTTCTTTTTAGAATTGATTTTCCCACCAAATAAAACAAACCCCTCACCCCCAGCAATATTACGCCTCTTAAAATGTCTTTGCATCAGGTGACTTTTAGGAAGCATGTGACAGCCAATGAAAATTGGTCTCTGTGCTTCTTGGTTTCTTTCACCAGGGGCCAAGTGGGGTTTTCCCGGGTCCCAGTGGAATGTGAAATTAACCTGACAGTTGTCTATTTTAAATCAAATTTATCAGGTGATGTAGCACTTTTCAAAACAAAGGGCAGGGTCAGTTGATACAACAGGGTCCCCACCATCAATGGAAACAGGTGGTCCAGGAGAGAACTAATTGCATTAGTCAGTCTAATTGACCCTCTCCAGCCCTGGCGGCCCTCCAGTAACAGGGACTCTGAGACACTGGCCCTGCTAACACCCACCTTAACAGATTTCATTGAATTAGATGGAAAGGGTCTTCATCCCATCGGAGCCCTATTCTGGCCTGCCAGCCTCCGGACAGGGAGGAGATGTCATTTCCCTTCATTCCTCTAAAAAGAAGGCCAGAGACTAGAAGGGAAGTTACCAGAGAGTGAGAAAAGTTACTCTTTAGAGAGTGAGAGGAGCCTCGAGAGGTGTCCCCAACCCAGGGCCTGCACGGGGAAGTGCCCAGTGAATGGCAACCAGCATTT